TAGTTGTGAGCAGAGTGTATGGACTAGGTACACAGGGTGTGTCTTGGACTATTTCATTAATAGCCCTCAAATCTTGGACAAAGCAATACTCTGCTGAGTTTGGCCTTTTTTTTTTTTTTTTTTTGGTCCGCGGGCCTCTCGTTGTTGTGGCCTTTCCCGTTGTGGAGCACAGGCTCCGGATGTGCAACAGGCTCCGGACGTGCAGGCTCAGCGACCATGGCTCACGGGCCCAGCCACTCCGCGGCATATGGGATCCTCCCGGACCGGGGCACGAACCCGTGTCCCCTGCATCGGCAGGCGGACTCTCAACCACTGCGTCACCAGGGAAGCCAGAGTTTGGCCTTTTGACTGGGAGGATAGGGATGTTATATGGGGACCTGCCAGGTTTAATCAGTCCTGCTTTCGAAAACTTTTCCAGAATTGGCTAAATTCCCTTTTGGGCTTCTTGTCTCAGTATATTAGTTTAGATTAGGTGTCCCAGCATCCACTTTGCAAAGGAGATCTCATCTCCAAAGGGGGATTGGCCACTCTGGCATATATAAGAAGCTATGTTTCAATGTGAGGTCCCCTAGTTGGCATTCCAGAGGTTGTAAGAACAAACAACTCCCATGACCACGACAGACTGAGATGTTTTCTGTGCCACCTTAGTATTTACCACAGAGTATGTGGCACCCGTATCTACTAGAAAGTCAATCAACTTGTTCCCCACTTGTCAAAGTTACCCGGGCCTCCAGTGGGGAAATTAGAATCGGATGCCTCAAGTCCAAGGGAGTCCCCCGGCCTCTTCATTCATTATCAGAGTGTTCCTCTCTTTCCACCATATGAGAGGCTCCTGTCTCCTTTTTTTTTTTTTTTTTTAATCTATTTTGGCTGTGCTGGGACTTCGTTTCTGTACGAGGGCTTTCTCTAGTTGTGGCAAGCGGGGGCCACTCTTCATCGCGGTGCGCGGGCCTCTCACTATCGCGGCCTCTCTTGTTGAGGAGCACAGGCTCCAGACGCGCAGGCTCAGCAGTTGTGGCTCACGGGCCTAGTTGCTCCGCGGCATGTGGGATCCTTCCAGACCAGGGCTCGAACCCATGTCCCCTGCATTAGCAGGCAGATTCTCAACCATTGCGGCACCAGGGAAGCCCCTCCTGTCTCCTTTTTATTATTCTCCTTCTTATTCTTTAGTCTCGGGCAATCTTTTCTCCAATGCCCTTCCTCCTTGAAGTAAGCACATTTTTCCTTTCCCAATGGTTGCTTACCGTCCTTTAGGTTACTCGCCTTCCAGGAATTCAATGCTGCTGCCAGAAAAGCTGCCTTTCAGTTTGCATCTTCTTGCTTCTGTCGTCATTCCCTGTTGTTGAATACTTTAAAAGCAACATCTACTCATTGAGAAGGGCTCATTCCACATACACCATCTAACTTCTGTAATTTTCTTATATATGGGGCGCTTTGTCCAATGAAGGCCCCTTACGTCCTCAGGGTCTGTATCTGTGTAGTGCCTATAACCTTGATAAATCTTTTCTAGAAACTCCGATGGATCCTCATTTGGTTTTTGTTTTATCTCCTGAATTTTGTTAAAGCTCTTTTGTCTAGGTCTGCCCTTGGGTTTCCTTTCGACCGCTGCACTATAAGGGTGCAGCCCTCTGACTCCTTTCCTCCTGATGCAATAGCATAAATGCTTCTACATATGGAATCTCGTCTCTTTCCCCGGTCTTTTGCAAAGCACTTCTAATTGCGAGATCGTACAGTAATTGAGTGGGCCATTCAGGAGCCATCGCTCCTCTGAGCCTAGCATATATTGGGTCCACACCCCATTACAATAGTATATCACCTCTTTCTTAGTCATAGGCTCATGGCTATGTTTTGCCCATTTATCTAATATACGCCCCAAAGGGCTCTCCTTTGGGATACATGGAATATTTCCCATTTTTTTATAAGTTTGATAACACCAAAACACAAAAGACGCAAACAAATTCCAACATCGATGCAGGCAAATGAACAGGTTCCCAAATCAGGTAGAGTCCAAGAACAATTCCCCTCTCCAACAGGGCAGCCCAACCAAATGCAAAACAAATTGAGGGGGGGAATTTGTTCACAGTAGTACCAGAGCTACATACCCTGCAAAGAGCGAGTCTCGCAGAAGTTTGTTGATTCCTTGCTGGGGTAGCTGGTGCCACTTCAGGGAATTTTGAAGGGAAGATCCTCAGGAGAAATAGTCCCAGAAGCTGCTGGGGCCTTGTCTCAAAATTGCTGACCGGGGCCGGCTAGCCATGATCAGCAAGGCTCCTGGCTGGCTGAGCCAAATTTGTTACCGAGTCCAAGCTCACTCTGCTTGCCACGTGACAGGCCAATAAATTGGAGATGAGGTGTTGAGGAAAGGAATAGCGACTTTAGCCGGCATCCAAGAAGATAGCAGACCAGGGTCCTAGAGTACCATCTTATCAGGGTCTGGATGCTAGTTTCTTTTATAGAACACAGAGGGGGAGAAGGTGAGGAAGTAAAGTAAGAAAGGCCATAAGTCTTGCAAAACACCTGGTTTGGCCAGGCTGGGGAGGGGGTGTGTTAATTTCTTCTTTCTTGCAGCCATTCACAGGTGGACAGGGTCAGAATTTCTCCCTGTGAGCTGAACAAAGGCACTTTAGTTTATCATTCAGGCAGAGGGACAGGGTTCCCAGAGGCAGGCTATTATGTATGCTTGTAGCTACAGACAGATAGTAACAAAAGCAATAGAGAGCAAAGGTTAAAGTGAAAGAAACAGATCCAACATGGAGTCAGAGTTTGTTCTTCCCTGTTACAAAATGTATAAATCAACTGTGAATGGCCTGGAAGTAAAATTATTTACTATATTTTACTATGTAGGGACATTTTTTATTGATTTCTCCATTAACCAAGAAATAAAGTATAAAATTGTCTTCCCATTTTCTTTGGACAATTAATAAATTATTAACATGTTCTTGAAAGTTCTACGTAGCCAGTGCTTTAAGAGTCAAGTTCTCCATCCCAGTAACATAACTTATATTGTCACCTCATTATTTACATTTCAGCTTTTCATATTTTCTCATCTTTCATTTTATTTGTAAGTACATGTTTCCTCCAGGGAACTCCAGCTTCATGTACATAGAATTCCGTTATGTCTGATGTCCTGCTTTACTTCCAAGACACAGAATGTTTCCCCATACATAGAATGCACTCTAAAGTATTTATGGATGAAAAAGGATAAATGGACTTTCCTAATATCCTTTTACAATGTCCTTTCATCTTTGCTCTCCAACTGTGTGTGAGGGTTATAATTTTATATCAGTCTGGAAAATCCAATCCAATTGAACAGGGTGTGTGGCTCACAGACTGAAGCCCTATGAGAGTCTAGTTAGGGTGTGTCCCTGGAATGTAGCCAGATTAGGATTCCAGTAAAAGGAAAGTCAAACAGAGGAGACATTTGTCCCCAGAAAAAGAAACAGAACAGGAGCAGTTTGGGATGGTGGAGGAAGAAGAATTGGCTGCTTGCAGCAGAACTTGCCTCTGAATCTATTTTAGCTTCACTAGCTCCTCTGATTTTGGGTTCTGGTAAATTCTCCAAACAGTGAGTTGTGAGGTGGCTTCATTCCCTTAAAATTGTCTAAGTCGTATCTGTCTTTAGACTTTTGTCCTATCAAAGCAGCTTCTTATGGTCTTTAAATTTTATTGTGCCAAGATTTATCTTATCACTCTCATAATTCTAGATTTGACTATTTGTGTCTTTTTTTGTTGTTTTTTGGTCCCAACAATACAGTCACTACCAGCCACATGTGGCTATAAAATTTAAATTAATAAAATTAAATAGCTACATTTCACTACCTCTGTAGTGTTACTTAAATTTCAAGTATTCCATAACCACACGTGTGTGGCAGTTACTGTATTGTACAATGCAGATACAGAGCACTTCCTTCACCTTGCAAAGTTCTATTGGCACATTGATCTGTATCTTGTGTGTTATTTTTTGTTGTTGTAAATACTTCATTTCCTGCCTTTCTGGATTAATTTCCTTTTATGGGTTTCGTCAAGCGATTTTCTTCATTTATTTACTACATGTCTTGAGATAGATATTTTTAAATAAGTATCTCAAGATAAAATAAATCTCTTGAGGTATTTATTTTAATTATTTAAAAAATTCATAAATATTAACCTTTGATTCTTATTACTTGAGAGATGGAGTTGCACAGGGATTTCCTAGGTATATTGGTTCTGCTTAGAGGGATGCCCTGTTGCACATGCCTGGGGATTTCTTGCATAACAGATAGGGACTTACATATTCCTATCTATCTATAGAGTAAATAACCTGAGAGTAAAAAATAACAGTCCACTTCACTCTGAATTTGCCTTGATGTCGAAACCAAACATAATCCACGGCCACGTCTGAATTCGTTTTCCTAGATCTTCCTTCCCTCCTTGAACACTCCCATGTTCTCTGGCTAATCCAAATCCTACACAGTATTTCCTGGGGGTCCCTAAGGCATAGTGAATTGTCCTGGGTAAATGAGTTACTTGGTCATAATATGTAGTTTATCTGTGGGTGCATGAGGCAAGAGAATGATCTGAGGAGTTGCAGAGTGTTTCCCTACAGGAGGAAACCACAGTCTGCATGTGGCATGAGTCACGATTCCCGAGAGTTTAAATTAAGGAGGACATTGAATCATTCTGGTTGCCCTAGGCTGCTGAACACACAAGACTCAAGGCTTATCATGGCTTATTTGTAAGAGGTCTGTAGTTTGACCTTCTTTATTAGCATCCACGTCTGTAGCCTTCTAACATGTTTACCCTGCGTCGAAGATTCTTAGAGTGCATCAATTATTTTGGTTTGAGGGGCTGGGGGTCATGCCCAGGTGACAGTTTGGGGCTCCATTTCAGGTGGGTCTGGAAGTTGTGCACAGGACTGGAGTCTCATGGCTTCTTCTCCATCCTCAGATTTGCGTGCTCAGTGCTTGGATTGGCTGTGAGTGAAATCCCGAGAAAGACTCCTGGCGACTGAGTTGTTGACAATGGAGCCTCTGGTGAGTAGCGACGCCTCCTTCTCCTGAAGCTACACCCCGAGTGCCATTAGATGGATGAGTTTTTCAAACTGGCTTGTATGTTCTAAGTGTAGTCAGGCAGTGTTCAGTCATCTGAGCTCAAATTACTTTGCTCTAGGACTCTGGGATAGTTATCATGGGTCAGGACTAATCAGAAACTAATCTCGTTCTTTAATTAAACTTATGAGAGCCGGCACTAATCATATGTATTTACAGAAGAGATAAGAAAACTTCTTTTAACTTGTTCAACCCTTGTCCTGATTGGCAAACAAAGATTAACTTGTTGACCATTTTTGGATGTGCTAGGCTTAGGAGTTGGTGACGGCAGGTAGCAGAGCTAAGGAAGGAGCAGACCTTCCAGTCCCTGGAGAGTCAGAGGTTACAGCCTGTGATGTAACGAATCCAGTGTTACACCACGTGGTGTGAGGCTGTTCAGTGTTGACAAGAGCAGAACACAGGTTTAGAACTGAAGGGGAATCATTTTACTTTTTCTCCATTTGAAACCTTTCACAGTTATTCAGTATATATGCACTACTGAAGATTTCTGAAAAAGTCACCAAACTATCATTAGCATTCTTCCCCCAAATCACACATTTTATATACCTGTTAGTAATTAACCATTTATTCATATTTGGTAACTGGAAGGAATATGTAGGGAGGAGTATTTTCTTAATTGTTCTAAAAAGAAAGGAGAAAGACTAGAGCAGGTAGAATAAAATTATATTCTTTTATAGATTTTTTAAAACTAGAGAAAACAAAACCAATAACTAGGCTTCTTTCATCCTTCAGCATGGAGACAAGATTAGATTACAAGAGAAACCATAATGACTAAGGTCTAAGTCCCTGAGAATGTAGAGAGTGGGAGTCCTCCCGTCACAGCGATGGTCAGGCTAGGTCTGTCCTTCACTCCAGCTACCTGAGTCCCCGGCTTATGCTTCTGAACCATCTGACCTCAGAGTTTGTTATGAACACCTGTGTCCTGTAGCGTTAAGAGGAAACACCTCCTCGTACCTAGTTCTGTATGAATCTTGTTCACTTCTGGGGAATGCTAGGCATTCCTTCGTAGGTCTTGATTGATAGAATAATGTATTTCTTGTAGGTTTGCTAGACAGGAACCACTTAATAGAAAAATACTTTGGATGTTTTAAAGCTCATAACAAGTTATCAAAGCAGTTCATATTTGGGGAATGAAAGGTTCCCCTAGGGAAATAACTTAAGACAAAAGTCATGTTTTCAAAGTAGCCCATCATGGTTATTGTTTGTCTTGTCATGAGTCTGTAGAGTTCCTTGAAATTATTAGGGAACAGAAATTGAGTTATGAATTTGCAAGTGAATATTTTATAATCACCTGTCTGGAAGTCCTAATTCCCAGGTTATTAAAAAAATGTCTATGTCGTATTATAACACACTTCAAGTGATATTTCTGTGAAATAAAGCTTCATGACGTCAGAGTGTGTAGGTTTCTGTGAATGTACCGGAAAGGCAGACACCAGCTCAGCACTGGCAGAGAACCGAGGGGAACCCCACACAGAGCGTGATCCTTTATCCACCCAGACCCCATCACCTCCTCATCTCAACCCTCCCACCCTGGACAGTGGTAGGGACCGCTCTGTCTAAACCAGAACATCCCTGATGTTTTAGGAATCAGTGACGTTTGAAGATGTAGCGATCAACTTCACCCAGGAAGAGTGGGCCCTGCTGGACGCATCCCAGAAAACCCTGTTCAGAAACGTGATGCTGGAAAATATCACCCACCTGGTCTCCGTAGGTGCGTCTGTCAACACGGATGTATGTGCACGTGTGTTCACTGCATTCATTCACTCACCGAACAGGCATTTA